GGCGGCGCGGGCCGAGGCGTTGTAGCGGCACGTCCCGTTCTGCCGGGAAACGGGAATGAGCCGGCGGGACCCGGCAGCGCTCCCAGAGCCCCCTCCGGACCCGAGCTTTCCATTTCCCGCAGGATTCCCACGAATTTTCCCTCAAAAACATCGCTCCAGCCCCATCCTGGGGTTGGTTCCCCTTCCCAATCCCAGCTAAATCCAGCACAAGCCTCCATCCTCATCCTCCCCTTCCCTGGAGCCTTCCTCCTCATCCTCCCCTTCCCTGGAGCCTCCATCCTCATCCTCCCTATCCACAGACTCTTCCCATTCCCTCCGGAGCCCGGGACCAGCAGCTTTTCCCTCTGCAGCTCCACGTTTGGAGGGTTAAATCCCACTTTTTCCTGGACGGAGCTGCTGTTGCTCTGACCCATTTCCCAGGATTGTGTTTTCAGGAAGCTCCTGACCCATTTTTCCCTGTTGCCTAAGAAATGGTGAAATAACCAGGTAGGAATTCCAGCTCCTGGTCCAGTCACTCCCCAAAATAAAAACAATAATAACAATAAAATAATGCCAAAGCTCCTGGGGTGGGTTTGGATCCGGAGCAAAGGCGAAAGCGGGGAAAGGGGGGATTGGATGGGAGAGGAGGAAGGACAAGAGGGACAGAGCTGTCTCCAGGTGTTTTCCTGGAAAAGAGGATTCCCGAGCGCTTCCCGGCCCCACCTGGGCCGTGTAGGGGTAGGACTCCTCGGACTCGATGCCGCCGTTGTCGATGATGTACTGGAACGCCTCCGTCATGAAGCCGCCGGCGCAGCCCTTGTTCCCGTACATCCCGGAGCAATCCACCAGGTTCTGGGCGCTCAGGGACACCAAATTCCCGGTTTTCAGCTTCACCTGCGCTTCCAGCGCTCCCACGGCGCTGAAGGCCCAGCAGGATCCGCAGGCGCCCTGGGGAGAGGCCGGGAGAGGCTCGGGAGCCGGCCCGGGGAGCAGCGGGAGGCTCCCGGGGCGAGGCTCACCTGGTTCTTCACCTCGGTCACGCAGCCCTTGTCCCGCCAGTCCAGCGCCTCCGGGACCTCCCGGGCCGGCCGGAACCGGGCTTGGAGCGCAGAATTCCCGCGGGGACGGGCACGGAGCTGCAGCCCCGTCAGTGAAGCCGCCACCTCCTCGCTGGTCTGGTGGGGGAAAAGAAATCCCAGCGGGATATTCCTGCTCTCTGTGAATCCCAGCTGAGGGCGGGGGGGGCAGAGCGGGAATTCTGAGGTGGAAAAGTCGGGTTTGGGGGACCCTCAGTGCCTTGGTTTTCCGTTTGATTTCTAGATTTTCATCAGGAAAGGGAAAGCTCAGCTCCAGCTCCCCAAATCCCTGGAAACTGGGCTGTTAAACCCCCCCAAACTTTGGGACAACAGAACAGGGATGAGCCATAAATATCCCAAATGACCGGGACAGCTCCAAATCCCTCCCCAGGGAGTTCCTTCCTCCCAGAAGTCGGGAGCAGCCGGGACGGGCTGGGGGGGATGTCGGCAGTTCTCCCACCCCGGAGCCAGCGGTATCCCGGATAATCCCCCGGGGGATTCCCGAGGGCTGGAATCCCGCACCCACCATGTCCCCCAGGTGGTTCATGCCCAGCGTGTAGGAGCGGAGCCCCAGGGAGTGCTCCAGGTTGTGGAGCGTCACCAGCCACAGGTTCTTCTCCCACGTCAGGCGACGGACAGAATCCTCCTGGAATTCCAGAGGGGCCCTGTGAGAGCCGGGACGGCCCCCCCGGAGCCATCCCGCCCCAGTTCATCCCAGTAAAGGCTCTGGGAGCCCCAGCTGGATCATCCCCGGGGACCGGCCGTGCTTGGAAGCGCCGCCGGATCTTCTCCGGTTGGTGGTGACCCCACGGGAGAGCCCCAGGAAATCCTGGGGTATTCCCGGGATCCCCGGGACACCCCCAGCTCCCCCCCCGTGACATTCCCATGATGTTCCCACCTGGGGCTGATATTCCTTCCCGTAGGTTTTCTTCCAGAGCTCCCAGTGCCGGTCGAGCGCGGGGTCGGGGTGTCCCAGGGACAGCGCCAGCAGGGCCAGGAGGGCGGCGGGAGCCAGCGGCTCCATCCCGGGATCCGCAGCGCCGGGAGCCGACGGCTCGCAGCCGGGATTGACCCCTCGGTGACGAATCCGGTCTGGGCAGGGAGGTGACAACACCCCGGTGACCTGCTGGTGCCACCGGCCCGCCCGGACACGCATCCCGAAATTCCCCGAGGGGAGAGCCCGGGAGCCGGCTCCGTGTCCGTGCGGACAGGCCGGGACACATCGGAGCCGCCCTGGCCTGGGCAACGCTCCCGGCACAATCCATGCCCAAAAATCCCCGAATCCCCTGGTTTTACCCACCCGCTGCCCCCCGAGAATCCCCCAGCAGAGCTCTGGGATAGGCCAGACCCCAAATCCCCGTAAATCCGCTTGTCCCCGAGTTCCAGCTCCTCCAAGTGCTCCTGGGGGGTGATTAAACACCAAACGCACCCCAATTACCTCCAGAAGCTGCTGCGGGGTCCTGCAGCTCCAGGTGGGGCTGGGGGTGGATCCGGGGCCGGATCTGGAGCGTTCCCAGCGCGGAGCTCCGGATTTGGGGCGCTCGGCGCCGCCGAGAGAAATCACGAGCCAGGAAATGAGGGAACGAGGAACCGAAACCCCGACCTCGATCTCCCTGCAGGGCTGGGGGGCAGCGGGGCCGGAGCCTCCGGAAACCACCGGGGGAGGGAGGGGCTCCAGCACCCCAAAAATCCGGGATGGGGATCCCACGGGAGCGGCTGGAGAGGGGTCACGCCTCAGGGTGGATTTTGGGAGCTCCGGGTGGGAATGGGGAGAGCAGAGCTCCCACCAGAGCCAAATCCTGGGAAAACATCCCGGTCATTCCCTTTCAGATGGGAAAATGTGGATGGGACGAGGATCCTCGCCGGGCCCAGAGCGGTGTGGGAAGCGGGAGACATGGATATTCCCAGTTATTCCAGTTAAACCGCAGACACAAAAGGTTTATCCACGTGGAATTCCCAACGGAGCCCAGCTGGAGCATCCCAAGGGTCCCCAGAAGGGACAGGAGGATTTGTACCACCCCAGGGTGGTGCTGGCACCGCCTGCACCGGATTCCTCAGGAATGGTGGAAAGGTTTGGGAAGGGACGGAGCAGGGACACCTCCCCTCAGCCACAAGTTCCCTGGATAACCCCTTCCCTTGCAGGGAAGGAATTCCTTCCCCAGATCCCCAAATCCCGTTATCCCTGCAGCCAAGAACCAGAAGTGACCCGTTTAGGGTATTTTATCCAAAATTTATTGGTGGGAAGCGGAGGGGGCTACAGGGACTGGGCGGAATTCCCGTCTCCGTGGCATCCCGGCTCGCTCAGTGCTGCTTCCGCCGGAACGAGCAGCCTGCGGGGAACAAACAGAAAACCTGGGAATGCTGCAGGGTCTCCGGATCCACCTGGGAAAGGGAATTCCAGGTCTCCCAACACAGGTTTTGGGGGATTTTGCTGCTGAGGGCTCCCAAAACAGACACAATTCCACCACCCCCCAGAATTCCAAAACTCTCCCGAGGGGGAAACCACGGGTTCCATGAGCCCCCCGCCCCAAGGAGAAACTTCCAGCCCCCCTCCAGAGGAACCCACAAGCTTCCCACATCCCCCCCCGGGATTCCCAGATCCCCCGAAGCCCCTCCCGGGCTGGCACAGCACCGTGGAGCAGCCCACGCACAGCACCACGGTCTGGGCATGGCTGAACACCGTGGTGATCTTGTAGCAGCCTGCGGGGACAGCGGAGTCACCGGGGGGACACGGGCAGAGGCACCGCGACACCCCGAGAGGGGACACGGGGGACACCGGGACAGGAACGGGGAC